AATCTGAAGAGTATGATGCCATACATTGAAGCCCAGAGAATTAAGAGCTTCAGGAAGGCAGATGTTGTCAATGATGTCCAGCACTGCTGAGAGGATGAGTAAGGCAAAGGCAGGAATGGCCATTGAATCTGCTAAGACAGAGGTCCTTGATGACCTTCATAACAGTCATTTTAGCAGACCGATGAGGGCGCAGACAGACATAACTGGAATGGATTCAGGAAAGAATGAGGTACGGAAAAGGAGACAGCACATACACACAAATCTACATGGGAGTTTTGCTATGAAGGGAATCAGAAAACAGGACGATAGCTAGATTACAAAACTTTTATTTGTATTCTTGTCTGTTAGTAGTATAGGCTGTACCTGGGCATGATCTCACCTTTCCTTTCTGATTATTTTTTGTTTTGTCTTTAATTCTGTGGGCATCTCTTCTGTCAGGAGCCTTACAATATTCTGGCTGGTTCAAGACCACCACCACTGCCTTGCCCTTTCAAAGCATAAGCCTGTGATACAAAATTTTCCATTTCCCTCAATCAGCCATCAAAAAGCTCATTTTGTCAAATGCCCAAACTCCCTTTATCTCAGGGTCCTGAGCCAACTAGCTGTCACTAAAGAAAATAAACTGTTTTCTCCTCTTAGGGGAATGTACTTCTTTAAAGAAGATGCTTAGAGAGAGGACATTCTATGTAAAAGAAGTTATGTAACAATTCTTCCACCATACTACAGGTTCGCACCCCTTTGATAACTGAAAGTGCCCCACAGGCACTTTCAGTTGCCACAATAGTCAGGTTCCAAGGTTTGCTCAGTAGGTTAAGAGCTGGCACTGAGAATGAAGCTCAGAGCTCATATCTACAAGTGGCATTTGCTTGTCCTTTGGGAGTTTTATGGCAGGGGCCGAACCGGACATGATGGGGTGCATATCTGTTTTCTCTTCCTGGAGATAAAATTCAAATACCTTCATAGTCCATGATAGCAACTTATAACCAAACAGGAAAAAGTGTTATTCTTGATGGCACCCACAGCTAGAACTTGTACTGAGTCATTCACCATGTCTTCCAGGGATATTTTCCAAATGGGATAGTGTGGCACCTCCAATAATAATCATAAATCTACTGCTCATGGTGGCTCAATATGAGGTGTGGAGGAATGAAGGGTTTTTTTTTTTAAAACTCAGACTTCTCGTATGTTAATTCAATCAATAAATACTTAGGGCTTACCATGTGCCAGGCACTGGTGATACTACAATAATTAAAACAAAAACCATTGTTGTCATGGAATTTAGTTTCTAGTGGGAGGACACATACAATAACAAATCATATATATGTAAAACATTAATTATAGTGATAAATGACATAAATAAAATTAAGGCAGGGGAGAGGGATGGTGTCTTAGTTCAGGCTGCTGTAACAAGAATACCGTAGACTGGGTGGCTTGAACAATAAGCATTTATTTCTCCTGCAGTTCTAGAGGCTGAGAAGTCTGAGATCACGGTGCTAGCATGATTGGGTTCTAGTGAGGGCTCTCTTCTTGGTTTCCTCATGTGGTGCAGAAAAGGGGGAAGAGGGAGGGGAGAGAGAATACAAGTGGAGCACTCAGGATTCTTCATCCCAATCAGGTCACCAATTCTATCACAGGGACTTCATGCCCATGACCTCATCTAAACCTAATCACCCCCCAAAGGGCCCACCTCCAAATACCATCACACTGGAGATTAAGGCTTCAATATATGAATTTTGCGGGAACAAAAACATTCAGTCCATAGCAGATAGGGAACACCATGAGAGAGGCTTGCGATTTTAAATAGGGCTGTCAGGGAAAGCCTCATGGGGGTAAAGACCTCAAGGAGGTATGGAAATGATCCAGGCAGATGCATATCTGGGGAAGAGCATTCAGGGCAGGGGGAATAGACCCAGAGGTAAGAGCATGTTTAGCAGGTTCAAAGAAAAGACTCTTAGGACAGGTCTGGAGCTGAGGTGAAAGATAACAGGAGGACAGATCATGTAATGACTTGTAGGTCACAGGTGAGGGCTTGGATAATTACCCTGACTGAGGGAGGAAGGTATGGGAGGGTTGAGCAGAGGAGTGATACGATCTGGCTATGTTTTAGACTATTCTGGCTGCTGTGTTGAAAGTAGACTGGGATGGGGCCAGGAAGGCAAGGGCAGGGGATCAGTTAACAGCCCTTCCCCAACATCCAGATGACTGACTGACTTGAGCCAGGATGGTTGCTGTAGGGATGTGAAGTGATCAAATTCTGGATATTTGGGATTTGATGACAGATATATAATGAGATGGGAGAGGAAAAAAAAGGCATCAAGAATGACTCTGAGGTTTGTGGTTTGAGCAAATGGAAAGCTGACTTGCCATGATCTGAGATAGTTTCTGGATCAAGAGCTCAGTTTTGGACACGTGAGGTGTGAGATTTCTCACAGACATTCAGGTGAAGATGCTGAGATTGCAGTTGGATACCATGAGCCTGGAATTCAGAGACAAGGGGTGGATTAGAGGAGCTATTAGCACACAGACAGCATTTGAAGCCACAAGCCTGGAGGAAATGATGTAGGGAGTGAGTGTAAATAGAAAAGAGAAGAAGAGGTCCAAGGAATCAGCCCTGGGACATCCAGCATCAGAGGTCAAGGAGACAAGGTAAAGACTAGAGAGTTAATGAGGAAGGAAAGCTTGTGTAGTGTTTTGAGAAATGAAGAGAGTATTTCCAGAAGAAAGGAGAGGTCAATCGCTAACAGCTCAAGTGAAATGAGGACTGGGAAGTGAGTTTGACAAGAGCAATTTGGCTGGTGTGGTGATTAGAGAATGTTTATGAGATAATGTGAGGAGAGCAAATGGAGATAGGAAGTATGAACTACCACTCTTTTGAGTCATATTGTAAAGGAAAAAAATGGGGCGAGAAGTTTTTTAAATTTTTTTTAAAGATGGTGGGGAAAATAATAGCATATTTGTATGCTGAGGAGAACGGTCCAGTTGAGAGGGAAAGCTGTGTCTTCAGGAGACAGAGAGAAGTGCTGGAGCCACAGCTTTCAGCAGTGAGTGTCCAAGTGGAGGGATGTGTCTTTGCTTGGCACAGGGACCATTCATGCACAGTAGGAGGGGAGAGGGTACAGCATATGGGCTTGGCTGCAGAAAAATGGGTGGATAAGGGGTGGGAACTTGTGCCAACTCTCTTCTGATGTTTTTATTTTCTCAGTGATGTAAAAGGAAAAGTCATCAGCTAAATGAAGATGAGGGGAGGGGGTGCTGAGAGTCATTTAAGAGAACGGAAAGATGAACAAACTAGAGAAAAACAGGATGCTATGATATGAACCTGTACATGAAAAGTACTTTCCTGTTCAAATGAAACCTCTTGGAAGGCAAATCCCTGTCATCTTAAGTTTTGGAAAATGGCAAAATCCACTTGGAGCTAAGTATGAAGAATAAGGTACATGATTTAAACCGAGAAATCCTATTTTGGCCCAAACCAGGGAAGCCCTTAAGATAACTCTGAGTAAATTCATCAAAGAGATCAAAATGCCAGCCCTCCCCTAAGCATTTACTATCACAGATAATTGATGCTCATAACCCTAAGATACTGCGACATTCTGAAACAAAATATTAAACTACCTTCTGTAGTATTTGTTAACTTTTAAATTTGAATTTAGCTCAATTTTCATTTTTAAATTGGTAATTTATGTGTATATTAAGCACATACTGAGTCCCCAACTGTTTTACATAAATGTGAGATGTCTTTGGATTCTTTGTACTCTGCACGGAAAAGACTACTGAGGAGGCATAGATTTGCTTAAGCTGCCACTGCCTGCCTTTCTTACAATGTATAATATCTTACAGTACATGATAGTCCAGATACACTACAAATCCCTTGGGGTCTGATAAATGAGAGAAAACTGTACTTTCTGTTTTCGAAATTTCCCTTGGACAGCTAATTCATAATTTACTATTTTATAGATACGTTTTAGAAATAAAAAATAATATCGCTATAAATATAGACTATCAGGAGATCTTGGAATACCAAATCTAGTTTTAGAAGGTAAAGGCATCAAGTAAAATGGAAATTAAAGATGTTTAAAGGAAAACCCTAGAGTATCTGTGGCAGTACTAAAGAAACCTTCCTTCCTGGGGTTACTAGCATGCTATTTTCTTGATGTAACTTAAAGGTCACAATAAAGTTGGTAAATTGTTACCGTGTCACTATCCTAAAGTAACACAATAAGAGCTCCAGAGAAGAGGATATAAACATAAAATGCAAATTAAAAAATCAGAATAGATATGTAGGCTTTTATTAGGACAAGCATTTCCATAACCATAAAGATCTCTTTAAAACAAATGAATGTCCCAAGATCTTTGTTAGTGGTCCAAAATGAAGTAAAAATTAGTAAAATTAATTATAAATGAACACATTTCAGCATATAAACCAATGACTCTTCTGTAGATTTTTTTTTTTTTTTTTTTTTGAGACAGAGTCTCACTCTGTTGCCCTGACTAGAGTGCTGTGGTGTCAGCCTAGCTCACAGCAACCTAACTCCTGGGCTCAAGCGGTCCTCCTGCCTCAGCCTCCCGGAGTAGCTGGGACTACAGGCACGCGCCACCATGCCCGGCTAATTTTTTCTATATATTTTTAGTTGTCCAGCCAATTTCTTTCTATTTTTAGTAGAGACAGGGTCTCACTCTTGCTCAGGCTGGTCTCGAACTTCTGAGCTCAAGCAATCCTCCCGCCTCGGCCTCCCAGAATGCTAGGATTACAGGCGTGAGCCAGCACGCCTGGCCCTCTTCTGTAGATTTTTAATGCCATGACCTACTTACATTATTTTCTAAGTTAAAGTGACTGATAATTAATGCGAAAACCATAATTAATACAGATGACGCAGATGATATTGTACTTTTCCAAAGTAAAGAAATATACTTGATCTAATATTTCTATAAATCCCATTTGATATAACAAAATAAACTTTACTGGGCAAAAATTTCTTTTAAATCTAAGAAAAAACAGACATGATAAAAAGACAGATATTGTATACAAATAATTTAAAAATATTGTCAAATAAGGAAATGTAAAACCATTATTTGAATACAAGAAAATGCTATAATATGAAGCAAAAGGTTGTCAAAATACAGAAGAGATATTCAAGGTCATGAAATAGTGACAACTATTTCCAATATATAGTAGATACTGAAATTCCCCAGGGAAAATGAGCAGAACTATTTCCTGAAGTGGTGGTGACAAAGGACAGATTTAGCTTTCAAAAATGCAAGACATACAGCGAATTAACTTACCACCTCCTTCAAATAAAAGTAAGAATTTCTTGAGAGAATTTAGGCACTATTAGCACATCTCATGCCAGTTAAAGAAATGCTTGGTATTTCAGTAGAAAACTATTTCAATGGTGAAAATGACGCAGGAATCAGAAGCATATTCCGCTGAGACACTAGGTAGTTGACACTTTCTCGAACTGGAAAAACATTTCATAAGAAAGCATATAGAGTTATTGACTGAATCAAATTTGTTCTAGAAGTAATTCATGCCTAGTGAAACAGCTTACCAGCCGCCACGACTCTGGGATCCTCATGAGACTGATGTCGCCCAGCTGCTCGACTGTCCGCACTCTCATTCCACCAAAGAACATAAACTGCGGAAATAAATCAAAAATAGTTTCTAAAGAATATGGCATTAATAAATAAGAAATACTGAAAAATGAATCAGAAATGTCTTTTTCTTTAAATCAAAATAGTGACATCAAAAAGGTAAAACTAAATATGTTAGTGATAAGATTTCAGAGGGGTCAGAGATTTGGGAGGGAAATTTATAAATTAATCAATCAAACTGGAAACAGAAGGCTGAAGAGGAGATGTAAAGGAACATAGCTAAAGGCACAATTATGACTAGCTCCAGGTTTCCTCACTTCCTATTATATTTTATTTTATTTTTTGAAAAGCAGATAAAAAATTGTGTAAACTGTAGAAAATTTAGATGATACAAAGAATGAAAACATTAACTGGCATAATCGTAAATTCCTAGATAAACCTCTATTATTAATAATATATGGTGTGTTTTTTTTGAAAAAAATGAGTAAACCAAATTAAGGTCTTTCAGTATATTATACTTAGAAACAGATTTTTAAAAAATCAACAATATGAGAATTTTCTATGTCAATGATACTAATTTTAATGGCTATATGAATTTCTCCATATCTATGTAACAACTTTTTATACCAACTCCTTAATGTCAATTATTTAGATTATTGCCGATATTGCAGTATTCCACAAGATACTGAAATAAATGTTTTATACCTAATTATAAGCTTTCTATAATTAAAGTTTACTACATGTTAGCTGTATAGATTTTGGAAAATGCAGATAAATAAAAGGAAAAAGTAACCATTTCTAATCTTACCACCCTGAAATAACCACTTGTCTATTTTGGTATATCTTTTCCACATATATATATGTATTTTTATACACGTTTATATATTTATAATACACACATAGCATATATATTTATGCTTATATAAGATACATTGATGTAAATGATGTATATGTATGTCTTCTTGTGTATTACAAGTACATTTATTATATAACTAGGGTCATAACACATTGTTTCCAGTGTTTCCTTATTGTAAACAAGGCCGACCTACGCTTCATTAGAGCAGCACCTACAATAATAACAATGCTGATGGCTACCACTAATATCTATTGGGTGCTTACTATGTGCCAGACCTGGTTTTAAGCATATTTCATGTATTCACTCACTTAGTCTTCATAATAATCTATGTGGTAGGTTATAGCATTTTCTGAATGAGAAAACTAAGGTACAGTGAGATTGAATAATTTACTCAAGGTCACAAAGTTAGTAAGTGATGAAGCTAGGATTTGAACCCAGGCAGTCTGGATCTGATTATTTCCTTAATATAAACTCTCAACATTTAAATTGAGAAAACCAAAGGACATAGATACTGTGCTCCAGAAATGATGTATCAATTTATACTCAGCAGATTATCATTCTCCTACTATGCTGAGAATGAATTTAAGATTAAAGAGTGTGTGTACACCATTTTCAGTAGTTTTTTCTTATAAAAGTTATACATGTCCAGTATAGAAAATTAAAACAGAGACTTTAAAAAAACCTTTAATTTTATCATCCATACATGACTACTATATATTTTATGTCCTTTTAAATGTCTTTACTGTATTACTAGATATATGCAATAATATATACATACACATCCATGCATATTTCCTAGAAGCAGTACTGGCAAAGACAAAAAAATTAAGGCTTTTTATTAATATTGCCAAATTTTTGGAAGGAAAAATTATACCAACATGAACTATACACAGTGTATGAGCACTTAATTTTTCCCTTACCTAACTATATGTCTTTGCTAGGTAA